ACCATAGCTCAAACTATAGAAGAGAAGTAATACGAAACCCGCAATCTGGAAGTTATAGAGTAACCTATAACGCAACACGGCGAGCCTGCACCAACACACAGGAGTATCTACCTATAAAGATAACAAGAATCGGCAGCATACTAACTAAACTAGGCGTTAATGATGAGGCTTAATCTGGGCCAGCATGAGTTTCTCTTCGTGATACTACCTGGCCAGACTAGCTGAAGATAACCAAGATTAGAAGTAGCCCTTAAGGCTACAAGGCCATATCCCAGAAGGAACTACCAAATTTAAGAGCTTAAGTATAAGTGGTATGAGAGATGCAGGAAATGACGTTATAGGGAAGTGTATCAAAATAGGACTAGTAAAGGGTGAAAAAATATCAGGTGAGTGCTATCCATAAGGACATACCGCTCCAGTAGATTTGGATCGCAGATAATAGATTGGTAGCCAGATAGCGGATGGAGACACCTATCATGCAAGTGATGGTTTCGGCCAGAGCATAGATAACCAATAGGATTTGAGTCTGAGCTTGGTGTACTTAATATATATAAATACGAAAATGTAGTAATACATGTAATGAAAGTATTAACAATAAATAAAGTCATAGGCAAGATCCTACCTGAACACCAAAAAAAAAAAAATAATAATAATAATTTTTATTGATTGATATATTAAAAAAAAATTTTCTAATTTCTACTTTGGTAACCTGGTCAGGATATAAAAACCAATTATATAAATTTTTATGGCCTTAGATTAAAATTCATATTAAATTATTAATAAAAAGTATATATGAACTTTAGTAGTTTAATAAATCTAAAACTATATATATATATTTTTTTTTTAGATGAGATTTTGCTTATAATTTTATTTATTATTAATACTTTTATATATACTGCTATATTTTTGTATTACATATATCAAGTATACTAAGCTTAGACCCAGATCTTTTTATAATCTATGCTCTGACCAAAACTATTACTTGTACAATAGTTATTCCTATCCGCTACTCGCCACCGATTCAATTATTTGTAATCCAAATCTACCAGAGTGGTACATCATCATCAATACACTTATCTGATATTTTATCACCCTTAACAAGTTCTATTTTGGTATACTTTCTCATAATAACATTCTTTGCATCACTCATATCACTTATACCCAAGCTCTCAAATTTGATAATCCTTTTTATAAGAAGGTTTTGTAGCCTAATTAGACTACTTCCAATCTTAGTAAACCTCAGCTAGTCTGCTCAGATAAGTCTTATTAGTAAGCTTTATACTAATTCAGGTTAAGCTTCTATTAATAATGCCTAGTTTAGTTAGTATACTTGCTAATTTCTATTATCATATTGAGTAGATACTCTCGTATATTGGTGCAAGTTCACTGTGTTGCATTACAAATTACTTTGTAACTCCCAGATAGCAGTTTTTTATATTATTTCTCTCCTATAGACTGATGAATTTGGTACTTTCTAGTAACTATGATGTTTTAATACTCTGATATTTTAGATTACAAGGCACTAGAGGCATAGATTTAGTTTGATTTGCAGTCTATAATACTCTTAATTAATCTTGATATCTTTTGGTTTTTTTGATATACAAGCTCTATTTATACAATATACTACCAGCCTGATAAATCCAGCTATTTTGAGTTATTACTATATATCCTGAGTTTTAGCCCACTTACTCTGTCATTATGAGGTTTTTTTCTAATAAGCCAAGTAGCTTGGGGCCAGTAATGCTTCTGATTCCAGTTGTGTCAATTCTTTTTCACAGATTGTCTTTATGTTTTCTACTTTTTTTACTACTCCAGTTATATTACTATCATATTACACTTCCAAGCAAGTACTCTACAAGTTGGATGCAAGGATGTTGATGCTGCCTCGGTCATTTTTAATCAAGGACTGATATGCAAAACTTTATATAACAGAACCTTCTATAACTTGGTGTTATGTGTAGTACCACCATTTTACGATTGGACCTCCTTTCAAAAATTCTCTTTTCTAGTTTCATATTTGTACTTGGACTTAATCACAGGATTCTGCATTCGATTATGGTCCTCTTTTGGATTACAAAAGCAAAAAATCCTAAAATTTTGTCTTCAACCTGACTCAAAGTGTCAACCTAGTTTGTGAGAGTTTGGCAGCTTAATTGCTAAGCTATAGGGCCCAAACTCCAATCTAAAACTATATCAAAAAACAAGCTATCAAAAAAGATTTAATATTTTTTTAAAGAATTTCTACCAGCATAACAAAACAATTATATGATTTCAGAGGTATGATGACTTATTGAAGTTGGTAAATTGTTGCATCCTCAAGCAGCAGAACAAGAGTTCAAATTACACTAGTGACGAAATTCGAATTTTACAGAATATATTATGGTAGACTGTATACAATCAAACAGATTGACAAATTTGTAGGCTTGGTTATATCAGCTTGTACTGGGAGGCTATAAAACATTAGTATGGATAGTGGCTTCAGTTTACAAATACTTGTTCTTGGACTTGATATAAGTTATTGAATCTAGGTTAACCAAATTGTAGGTATAAAAAGCTCTAGCAACAATGCCTCAAGAATAAAGTAGTTTTAAGAAAATAAGTCAAGAATCTGGAACTTCTCAACTAACAAATATAGCAGAGATGTAACTAGAGATTAGAACCACCTAAAATTTTTCTTAATTATTTAATCATTTAATTGTTTAACCGTTTAACTTGGCTGGCATTAAAATAATTCTATCCTACAACCAACATAATTTTGCCTAAAATTATGGAGCAATTTTTAAATAGTTAATGATTCCAATTCCTAGATATAACAGTAATACAGGTACAAGTTGCGTTACAAAGAGTTTAATTGAATAATTCAAGTAATAGTAGATTACAAATATGATATCTTGTGTAGGACTTAGTAATAAAAAACTACTTAATTAGATGTTCAAAAAGCATAGATATAGCTAAAATATACTCTCTAATATAAAAGAGGTTTCTTTAAGGCTTCAGCTGCGAGCCCTCAACTTAATACTTGAATAAAACCCTAGCTCCAAAGAGACTAGTTGTAAAATAAAAAAAAAATTATGATTTCTAATTCTACTATATTTTAATACTAATCTTGTAGTGTTAAGTATATTGTTTTATTAAGATTAGTACTAATCACTTGCTGAGTTAATAAATACAAGTTTTACTGTAATAACAATTCTCTTTTTTTATTGGTCAGATCACATATATAAAACCTATTTTTATTAGTTAGATTACATATAACTCCAAAAAATTAGTCAAATTTGAAGAATTTGAAAATCATACAAAAATTTAAAAAAATTTAAAATAATTTATTTCTAAAATTTTTTATAGCCTTGTAAATTAATATATAATTTTTATCTACATTATAATATAGTACAATATAATATCAAATAAGATATACCAAAATACTATAAATATAAAAAAAACAAATTAATTAGTGATTTGCCAGTTAATCAGAGAAGATCTACAAATTTTTATTACTATTGAGCCAAATGTGAAGTGCACCAATCTAAAACTTTTTTTTTTACTAAGAGAATTACTCTTAGACTTATAACAAAAGTTGTAGAGCTCATCAAGATGCATCTAATAGTGGTAAGAACATTAAAATTGGCCTGGTGGTTCTTGAGAAATCTTTAAAAAACGTTTTGTTAACATATAAAATTTCTTTAAAAAAAATCATTTTTTTTAAAGAAATTTTATATATCAGCGAAATGTTTTTTAAAGATTTCTCAAGAACCACCAGGCCAATTTTAACGACTTACCACCATTAGATGCGTTTTGATGAGCTCTACAACTTTTATTATGAGTCCAAGAGTAATTTACTTAGTAAGAAAAAAGTTTTAGATTGATGCACTCCACATTTGGCTCAATAATAAAATTTACTTATAAAAATTTGCAGATCTTCTCTGGTTGACTGGCAAATCACCAATTAAATAGTAAAAAGATGAGTTAAAAAAAATAAATTAATTAATAAAAAAATAAATTAGTAAAAGATTAGATAAAACAAATAAATTAAAGATAATAAGTTAGTAAAAATCTAGAGTGACAAGTATAGATTATATAAAGTATCTATTTATTATTAAAAATCAGCTAATATAAATAATTCTATATAGTAAAGTAGACAATTTTAAAATTAAAAAAAAATACATATAAAATATTAAAAATTCATTAATATGGATAGTGCTAAAAATTGCTATATAAAAGGGTTTGAGTTAAAAAGAATAAAGTACCATGTTAGCGTTAGCGGATGATCGTGAAATCGGATGATGGTGAAATTTAGAGGTCTCGGTTTGAAAATATAAGCCCTACAAAAATCCACCTATACTGTTTACCAATAACTATAACCCTAAATCCTAACTTAACTATAAAAAAAAAGCCGACAAAAAAGGCCCCAAAGATTTTTAAAAATCGTACATAAAATAGATCCAAATTTCACCATCATCCGATTTCACGATCATCCGTGGCATGGTCATCAATAACAGGTTATTTTTTTCATCGATCCAAAGTGAATCCCACACATGGTATGATAAATTAAAACTAATATAAATAATTTCAGTTTTAATTTATCGCAATTGATCACACCATGTGTGGGATTCACTTTGGATCGGGTACGTTTCCTCCTGTTACGTTAATGTCACTCCCATATACCGCTACGCAGCACATGAGTGACGTTATATGATTTCAATTCACATGATCATATCAAAAATTATACGAAATTTTAATATATGTGAATCAAGAATCAAGAAAAACACTTTAAGCAATAGACAGTGGCACGGGTAAATGGCCACCATTCACTATATATCGTTTTAGCCTTGCACTAGATTCAATGTTTCAAATAGTACCGTACTAAATACTGCACGTTAAACGATTAATATTCGACACTGAAGGTTAAATTTTATTTGATGTCACAAAACACTAATTATTTGTAAGAAATAAATTATTATTATAATTAATGTTATTTATTTTTTTTTCTAATTACAAGTGTCATGCAAGACATTTTAAAAGTGAATGTTGCATTTGCCAGAAACAATGCATCACCTAAGTCGGGTTAACCCACGAAAGGCTAAAAAAGTATAATAATTCCGATTATGATTTGTTACCGCTCATTAACTTCCAAAATAGTCAACTCAACCCTCTCCAAGATCCTTCGACTCGCACTTCTGACCAATTTATACATCCCATATACAGCTTTAAGGATTCCTACAGCAACAATGATTGTGAAAAAAACAGCAGTGATTCCATCCACACCACGTCTACCACCCGTTGCACCACCTGTTGGGCCAAATCTGAAAGGACCAAACCACATTAATGAGAACAATAATTGTACAAACCCTACAAATCCTACGAACATAAATCCTAATAATATGTGAACGTAGTCAATTCTGAATATTTTTGAGAACTCCATGGGTTCACGAAAAAATAATGGATCATATTTGAAATCATAATCATCAGCAATATAGTCTTCACCAAAATCGGCAATAGGATAAAGATAAAGAAGAAATTTTGCAAGAAAGCCGCCAATAAACACACAAAAAGCGAACAATGTTAAAGTGACAAATGTAAGAATAACTATAATAAACAACGATATTGTTCGATAATAGTCAATAAAAATAATAATAAGAATAATAATAAAAATAGAAAGATGATAATAAACACTTACATTCATTAGTAGCGAATTTTGCAATTGTTGTTCTTCGAAAAGCATATTTATATTTACACTCGTCACATTGAAAAAAACTCGATTTCTTTTGACTTCGTAATCGCCAATGATTTAAACATTCCACGTGGACGTACTTCAAGAATTCAAACCGTTAGTTAATAATAGTAATGAAAGCTTCAATGAAAAGAACGAAAAAACTAACCCTCATGGTTCCTTTACATAAACATGGAGAAATAAGACGACCGAGACTTTCTTCTTCTTCAGGGCCAGCAAAACATATGCGACACATTTTATCCTCCACGGGAGAATTTGCATCTGGAACAGAGCCAGTTTGTGTAGGGAATATTTTTTCTACGTTAGAAGATAGCTTTGAATAGTCACTGTCAAGTTCTATATGTGAAAGATCGTAAATTGAAAAGGATTATATAAGTTATTTTTGAATGCTGTAATTAATAAGGCTAGATTCACCGTGCTCACTTCCTTCATTTGAACATGCCTCTTGTACGCTACGGCGAAGATATGGGACTGACTCCAGATTTTCAGTCATTGATAAAATTTTTCATCGAAGTACAAATTTATGTATCGGTATGTAATTGAAAAGTGTAGGTTTTTCGAGTTGTTTCACCAATGCATTCCTTTATTAATGTAATAAGAATTAGAGAACACGTGATAATGACATTACCGATACACGAGAATCTTCATTACACTTTAGTTATTCCGATTGATCGAAAGCTTTTCTCATTTACGTACGTACAGTACGTACTTCGTCAAGACAATTTTATGGAGCATTAAAGAAAATTTGTACTATCTCTACGTATACATAAATTGTCGTGTAACGTACCCACAAAAATTTAAAATTCTCAAGAAAAAGTTGATGAACTGGATCACGTGCATAAGTGACCCGACCCACGAAGATAGAATCAATATGTAGAATGTTTTATTATACAAGATTAATCAACTTTACAGTATATATAAAGGTTAGAACCTTTAAATGATTTTTTTTTTAGAAGCAATGAAGTTTCCAATGTATGCGTAGGCAAGGTAGATCTTGCAACAAAGGAAATGTTTGTTTGTAAGGAATGTATCACGTGAATATTATAGGCGGGTTGGTTGAATAACAAAAAAATCCAGTTTCTTTGTTATTAACTCAAGATTGGATAATAGATTCTGAATGGCATCCCAAACATTTGAATCATATCCTCAAATCGATGTAATCATATCGAAGCAGTTCTTCTAGACTGTGATCAATGACATTTACGGGTTGACGAACGTTTCTTGCTCTTCGTGCGTTCAGTGCAGGTTGGATTGTTGAAGATATTACTTGGCCTATTATTATTTCAATTGTAAGTTCTGAAATAATATTTCATGTAATTAGTGTTGGACTTATAACAGGGTTTCTAAAAGTGTCTGATACTTAGCGAAATTTAATACTCACTTAAATACCAGGAGACGTAGATGAAGACCAGGAAAACAATCGTCATTTGAATGAGTGGACGAAACCAGTAAATGGTGTGTAAGAGATCTAAGTCTAAACATTAAAGGAAAGGTGGATTAGAAGTTGGAAAATCATTGAGTAATATACGAAATACCTTTTGGAACAACGACGATCATGGTGAACAAACGTTATGTTCTTTCTCGACAAATGCGAGATGATAATGAAGAAACAAAATGAAAGCTTATGTATATATATAAATTTTCTTAAAGCACAAACTAAAAAAGGTTATTAATAAACATATTTTGGTGCACTGCAGTAAAGAACTATTAGCATTATTGTACAAATTACTGAATATGGAAATCAAAGGCTCTTTTTGTCGATTTTTAGACACCCGATGTCATTAAGTATTGTTCGTATAAATGACATGCCTTTATATCATCGTTCTTGAAACTTTGATTGGTTATAGTAGTTATTTAAACGGTTGTCAAGCAGTTCAAAATATGCTTCTTTGGTTTTGTAGTCTAATCTTTGACAATCCTCATAACACAAACCAGTACTCTAGTCGTGGCGACAAATATTGTCTCTAAAATGAGCTTCTACTTGGACAAAATTAATTATTCAAATATAATTTTTTTCAAACTTTTACAAGATATCTCGACGACCAACTATCTAAAATTGTAAGAAATTTTATATTATATTATCATTATATATTCATATAGAACAGAAATAAAAAAATTTTCATCAATTTTAGATAGGTAGTTGTCGAGATACCTTCGCTCAAAGTTTGGAAAAACTTTGTCGCAGCTTATGTTTTGATAGTTATCTAAGTTTTTTCTAAACTTTGAGCGAAAATATCTTGACAACCGCCTATCTAAAATTAATAAAAAAAAAAAAATTTAATTATACAGGCATATAGAATCGGAAGAAAAAAATTATCATCAATTTTAGAGAGGTGGTTGTCGAGTTATCTTCGCTCAAAGTTTGTAAAAACTTTGCCTCAATTTTTGAAATATCTTGATATTTACCTAAAATTAATAAACTTTTTTTTATTTAATTATATAAGTATATAGAATTGGAATAAAAAAAAATCCAATTTTAGATAAATAGTTGTCGAGATATCTTTGCTTAAAGTTTTGAAAAACTTTGCTATAGCTTTTTGTTTTGTTTTTTTTTTAATCTTCAAAGGTGAGGTATAGCTTTTTGTTTTAATAATTATTTTCTTCTAAATTTTGAATAAAAATATCTTGACAGCCACCTATCTAAATTAATTTTATATATCTGAATAATAAAAATTTCAAATTTTGAGTAAAGATATCTTGACAATTGCTTATCTAAAATTGATAAAAAATTTTTTAATCTGATTTTATATACCTATAATTAAAATAAATTTTTTATTAATTTTAAATAGGCAGTTGTTAAAAACCTTAGATAACTAGTAAAACTATGGAACAAAGTTTTTTTAAACTTTAAGCAAAAATATCCAAAAAAAATAGTTTATATACTATATATAAATTTAAACTTCTAATAATATTTTAACAAAATAATTAATTTTGATATTTAAAACTCTTAAATTTACAAAATTATATAAATTTAAAAAATTTTTTTAATATATCAAAATCAAATATACAGTATTGTTAAAATAAAATATATATAAATTTGAGTTTTTAAAAAAATTTTAACCATTATTTTCAATATTTAATAATTTAATAATTATTAAAATTTTTTTTTATAAGATAGAGGCATGGCCTCACCTTTGAAGATTAAAAAAAAAAAAAAAATGTTTTTTTATATTTTGAATAAAATATCTTGACAATGAAATGATCAATTTTGATATTTGAAAATTTTTTGAATTCTACGAATATGGTATATAAAATTCAATTTTGATGCTAAGCTTAAAAATATTTGATTTTCATATTTTGTAAGCATGTGAAAATTCGTAATCATGTATATAGTATATATATTACAGAAGGCTACTATTCTGTAGAATATATCGATACGTATGAGTGATGCAGAATGAAAACCCGGAAGTGAATATTTAAGTTTTCACTGTGGCGAACTTAACCCTTGAAACATTATAGTGATGTTATTGATGATCGGTGTTTGATTTTTTCATCTTCAACAAGAATCTAGATTCTAGCGCTAGATTCTTGGTATAGAAAAAGAATCAGATACCGATCATCAATACCAATACGTAACATCATAATGTTTCAGGGGCTAAGTTCGCCACAGTGAAAACTTAAATATTCACTTCACAGGTTTTCATTCTGTAGCACTCATATAGATAATCATATTCATAATATTCTTTGTATACAAGAAAATTTAAAATGCTACGCATGATTTTGAATGGGTGCGGAAAAACTTGTGTCGAGAACTGTATATACAGTATACAGTATATACTATAAATTCAGATTTATAAATTGACATCCTTAATATAGATGTAGTTAAAGATGCTAGTAAAATTAAACTAGTAAACAAGAGTAATAAAATAAAATATACAGTAATAAAATTTGTTGACAATACGCTAGGCATTAACTCTACCGGATACTATACAAATTTTGCCCGTAGAATTTATCGTACCGGGCCGCGTGGTTTTGGTTTAAATTCATGTGATAATACATCTAATTGGACACCAACATGTGACTAGTCATTTCTGGCATGGCTTAAAAACGTTCAAACATTATAAACTTCTCGTTTTCTTGTATCAAAAGAAAAAAAAAAGTTACTAAAGATGTATACAGAAACACAACTTCGACAACTTAAAATACCTGACCTAAAGGAAATATTATCTAAGGAAAGCCTACCAGTTTCTGGCAAAAAGGAAGATTTGATAGCCAGAATTTTGGCGGCTGAGAATAAAAAAACAGAGGAGGCTTTGAAACAAGCCAGCAATATGGATATTAGTAATGTCATTAACAATGATACCGATCCAAAGCATGACGATGATTTATTTGACAAGGATCTACTAAATTCGCCAAATGACCTCACAACAGGGCTTGATAATTTTGATTGGGAAAAATTCACTACCGAGTAAGTTGGTCTCGAAGTGTTCTTTATAATGAGCTAACACATTGAATACATTATTAATCATTGACTAAATATTTTAGTGACATTGATGCTTTATCCAAAGATAACACATTTGATTCGCTTATTTCTCCCACTTCCCCTTCACATTCTACCAATTCCAATAAAGATAATAATACTCAAGAAAAAGTAAAACCTGATGTGCCCAAAGATGATCAATCCCAAACAATAAAATCGGACGATGCCAAAAAAACTTCAATTAAAGATGGTACAAACTCAGAAATTCCTAAGTCTGATGTTCTTGTCAAACCGTCAGGATTCACATGCAAAAAGATTGTATTTGACGAACCGACATCACCGATTAGTAAGAGCCAATCGGATTTAAATGCAGAAATTGAAAGGCGAAAGAAACGTGCAGAGCGCTTTGGAACGCAATTATCAGAAGCAGATAAAAAGCTTCAAAGGGCCGCAAGATTTGGGGTTGAAGTCACTAGTCCTATTGATTCTCCTCTCAAAGGTATTTAACAAGAGTTGTTTAATATTTCAAATATTGATTCATCACTTATAAATAATTCCTGGATTTTTTTTATAGCATCTTTACCTTTTCCTACCCGAAAATTAGTAAGTATATCTATCTTTATCAATTTCTAATATTCCAAAACTTTGAATTCGTATAATGTATAAACTTATTATTATTATTATTATTATTATTATTTTTAGTCTACTACTTCAGTTGATAATGATGAAAAACTGAGAAAGCGGGCAGAGAAATTTGGTCTTGACAAGACAAAAAACGAAACACCTACAAATGTAATGGCTACATCAAATTCGTTAAGTGAGGAAGAGAAGAAAAAGAAGAGAGCTGAAAAATTTGTGAGTTAGGAACAGTCGATCTAAAAAATTTATTTAATAAAAATTTGCTAGTTTTTATGTATCTAATTTAATTATATTCTAAAAGGCCCCACCGTCACCGGTATTAACTGGCACATCCACCTCTTCACTATCTACGCTTAGCGAAGAGGAGAAAAAGAAAAGAAGGGCCGAGAAATTTGGCACTAATGTAAGTACACTGAAATATTTTCATATAAAATTTGCCGTAATCTGACTGTAACTATTGATTGTTATAAGGTGTCAAATGGTGAGCCATCAAGCAAAAAAGTAAAAGCTTAGATGAAGAAATGTTAAATAGATATAGAATCAAAAGATGACGAAGTTCACACTATTTTAAATGGGTAAAGTTGGTTCGTTATTTTTTGAGAATTATTAACTTTATTCCTTCCTTTTTAAAACAGGGAAACGCACTTGCATTACAGGAACTTTGTTTTGCTACTATTGTTCATTTCTGTTTATTTACACTTTTATGTTGTTTTTTTCCAACAAAATTGGAAATAAAACAAAATATTACGTGAAATTTGTCAGTTTTTCTTTAAAAAAAAAAAAAAAAAAAAAAGTAAATAAATAAATAATCAAATAAATAAAAATAAAAGATGAAAATTTGACTTTTTAATAGATTTGTCCGGAATATAATATTTAGTGGTTTAAAATTTTGATTAGCGAATATATCATCCAAGGGAATATATAAGTGCTGCTAATGAAATCAGGAAGTCTAAACATAGATTACGATAAAATAATATTCGGATTTCCTAGTTTTCACTTTACGACACTTATATAAAAGTTTTAACGCAAGGTGGTTAAAGCTCGGTTTAAAAAACCTAACGAGACACACCACTGATCAGAATTTACCATAATTAGATCTTTTAATTTAATATTTAAAGTATAACTGTAAACACGTTTAAACAAGTCCAAATGTTCAAAGTTAAAATTTCAACAAATTTTAAATTTTAATTTAATTATAATTTTTCATAATCCAGTTTAGATTCTAATTTTTTGGCATCAGAAACTTTTCTAACAGCTTTCATGAAATCCTCCTGTACAACGAAATCTCGCTCCTCTCGAATAGCAAACATACCTGAAAAGTACATAGATATTATGTTAATGTAATAATTGTTGATTGAGATAGATTAAAATGAGATTTGATTAATTTTAATAAGGAAATAACGCATAATGGTTAACTTTTTTTTTTTTTTTTTAGGGTTTGGGTTAGGTTTATTAGCATTAAGTATAAAGATATTGAAAGGGGCTTAAACTGCTTAAAATTTCATTTCATTATAGTGAGTTAACGTAATTTGGATGTTAGCCTGAGATGTAAAATGTGCTATTGATTATTGCTTTTTTTGACTATTCCTTATTGCAGATCACATAATAAATGTCTAACCCATCCTCCCACATAAGGATGTTAATTATATGATCTGAAATAAGGAATAGTCAAACATCAATAATAAATAGTGACTCTATATCATCCAAATTATGCTAACGTTAATCTGATTTCATTTTAATCTGTGACGTTAATTATTATATAAAGAATTATACGAACCTGCTTCTGTACACACGTTACGCAAATCGGCCCCATTAAATCCATCAGATAATTTCACAATGGCTTCGTAATCTAAGATTGTTTAAGTATGGTATATATATATGATATTGATACAAGATTTACTTTATGAACGTAATGAGCAATACAATAAATTTACCAATTTCACCATGTTTGGTAATAGGCGCAGAATGAATTTTTAAAATTTCAAGACGTCCTTGTTCATTAGGCAACGGAATTTCTATTTTTCGATCTAATCTTCCAGGTCTTAACAGTGCTGGGTCTAGAGTATCAGGCCTATTAGTGGCCATTATTAATTTAGTTTGTCCTAGGTAGTCGAAACCATCCATTTGATTAAGAAGCTAGTTATGGCCAAATAAGAATATGTATGATAATTAAATATCAAAAATGCAATTTAAGTTTAGATAACACTCTTGTTTACCTCCATGAGAGTTCTTTGAATCTCACGATCGGCACTAGTTCCTTCGGAAAACCGTCTACCACCGATTGCATCAATCTCGTCCATGAATATAATGCATGGCTCATGATCCTTAGCGTATCCAAACATTTCTCTGATCAACCTTGCACTTTCTCCAATGTACTTGTCAACGATAGCGCTCGATACGACTTTTAAGAAATTCGTTTCGAGAGTACTAGCGACTGCACGCGCTAAAAGTGTTTTTCCGGTCCCTGGCGGACCATATAAAAGAACACCTTTTGGCGGCTTGATACCCACGCGAAGGAAGAGTTCCGGGTTCATGAGTGGCAATTCTATAACCTACATAACGATTTGAGTAGTTCGAAGGTTTCTGAAATGTCAATTTATATAGCAGTTTGTAAGTTTGTAAGATGTCGAATCAAAAACAAGGGTTCCATACTTCACGAAGCTCCCTAATTTGCTCGCTTAACCCTCCGATACCAGCAAAATTTATTTTTCCAGGATCTTCTAAGCTCATATTATACACCAATGGATCAACCTCTCTGGGCAACATTCGCATGATGGTTAAGGTTGTCATATCTAAAGCAACGCGTGTTCCTTGCTTAAGCTTCTCTTTATTTACTTTATTACGGCATCCGACCACATATCGTGGACCAGATGAAGCCTTTACAATGACTATGTAATAACAATCAAGTTCAAATAGAATAATCATTAACTATTAATTACTGGGTGGTGTCAATTCCGATTATTATCACTTACATCGCTCTTCGTCTAATTGTTTCAAAACTTCACCTATAATCTGACCAACGCTTTGGAGTGCTTTAATGTCTTCTTCAGTCTTATCGTATACCTTCTCAAGATCACGAAGCTCAAGGCGAACTACATAATAAAATAAATAACAATGTTTTTATTATAGGTTATTTGTTCTATAAATTTTCACTGAAATCTTAATATTTAATTGTATCGGTTTACTTACATTCTTTAACCTTTGCTTCAAACTCACGATGTTCTAATAACTTCTTGCGATATTCTTGTAAAGCCTTTGCGCGTCTATCAGGGTCTGAGGATGAACTAGAAGCCATTGCGTGTTCGCTCTTATCTGGACGAGATAGATTCAATCGTGAGCTATATACAGATTAGGGTGTGCAATGGGCCGGGCCAAACCCGGCAATTTGCGGGTTGGGTTGGGTTTGGGCCGGGTCTGGGCTCAAATT